AAAATTGATATCTTATTCTTATCCTAATATTTCTGTACATTTATTTTCCTTGTTTCTTTCAATTTAGTTTGTTTACTAGTTATTTTAAATTAGAATTTCAGCTTAAATTCTTTTATCATCTTGTCTTGCCTTTCCCTGTGAACATTCAATGTATTTCAATTCTAATTTTCATTTTGATAATTAAAAAAGCTAAGCATTACATTGTATCACCCTGAATACAATACTCTTCATCTGCTATTTATGATATCATTTTTAACTAAGTGTTTTCCAGTTGCCTTCTTAGTTTTCCATTGAATTCCCAATAAATATGACCTCTATGTTGTGTAGATATTGATGAGGTCAAGTGGTTTGTTCTGTACCCTGAACAATAGCTAAATCTGTGAAATATGAAAATACATCCTAAGATATCAGGAGATAATCTGATCTGCTTTGTTTTATATGACTGGGTTATCTAATCTAGTATCTGGATTGTCTATTCACATTGATCTATTATATTTAGTTGATATTCTGAAGTGCTGCCTGGGTTATGGGATTTCTGTCAAGATTAATGTTGTAAATATCCAACACCAAGTCCTGAATATTATTCAAGTCATCATAAATGATGAACAATCAAGACAACAATATCCTATCTGAGATTCTTAAACAAGTTGGAATTATCGTCCTTATGAGGATATAAATTAACCAAAATTATTCTATTTAAATGAATCTATATACCCTGTCTCCAATACAGTACATGTACAATTAATATAGACTCTATATAATACAATATAATCAATATACAATGTCTCTAATATACAATCAATATACACTGTCTCCAATATAATACAGTCAATTTACACTCTAATACAATAAAATCAATGCACACTGTCTCTAATATAATACAATCAATGTAAACTGTATTTAATGCAATATAATCAATATATACTGCATCTAATACAATATAATATAATTATTATCAATACTGACTATATCTAATACAATACAAATCAATATACACTATCTCTAATACAATAAAATCAATATAAACTGAATTTAATACAACACATAGAGGATTTCAAATGGGTAATGATTTAATATTGAATTTGTAAAATGAGTTTAATAATGTCCAGCTTTTATGAGCCTTGGTGAGCAAAAGTGGACATTATTAAACAAGTTTCATAAATTTATTATTAAATCATTACCCATTTGAGATTCATTTTATCACATAGTTTTTATTTCATTGGAATTATTTAGATTGAAAGAAGAATGAATAAAATTTTGTTCATTCTTATTGACGGTGCACCTTTCACTTCTTGTGTATAAGATATATTCCCAAACAAGTTGAACTAGTAAAAGAAAATTTTACTTTTCTACAAACTATAAATCAAAGAAAGAACTTTCATCATAAGAAAATAGAAAATTTTATAACGACAACCATTTTTCAAAACTGACTGATCAATGCGATGTTATGCTGCCACAGTGTTTGATATGGTACACAGTAAAGGCGGCCTAAAGTACATATTAAACCTTAAAATGTGACTTTCAGAACTAAATGTTATATTGTCATTTTCATGTAAAATATGATTACCAGAAGCAAAAATCCACACATTTACTGATAGACTTTTGTGGCCTGATATTTGCAGTATTTGATTTGGAACAATAGATTGTACAGAAGACATAAACAAATTTATATTTGAGTCAGATTTGCATCCCTTATATAATGTGAAAAGACTATGTGGTTGGATAATGTTCTGTCAGATTCTTCTGTGAACAGAGGTGAGAGTATTTACTTCTTTAAGTTAACATTTAGACTATGTTAGTATATACAGTGGATTCTATATCTATGTTACAGATATACTGTTCCCCACATCACACCACCTGAGTTATGAAATAAGCAATACCCTTAGTTTCACTTCTTATTGTTGTTCTTGTCTTGTAGTTTTACACCATTTTTCTTATGATGACATTGTTCAACATGAAATAACAAACCCCTGTGGGGGTAACATATCCATATTCAGACAGCTGATATAATATTTTCTTGATTTTCTTTTGTGAGTCAAGTTAAAAAATTGCCACCAAAATATGTTTATTCAAATCAAAACATTCCAGAAGGTGGGGTTAAAAATGTTTTTCCATGATCCCAGCCAATCAGTAAAGAAAATACTGCACAATAATTTCATGGGCTTATCTGGACCAATCAGAATCACATAAAGTAATATGATATCAAAAATATGAAACTGCACACACTATAGACAAAGTGTACCAACTATGTGATAAGATCAATATACACTATATGTAATACAATACAAATCAATAAACACAGTATCAAATACAATATAATCGATATATACTTATCAAATATAATACAATCAATATACACAAGTTTCATGTAAATATATAATGAATACATTTTTAATTTTGTTTAGTTTTTTAACTAAAGCTGTTCAGTATTCTTACATTCAGTGATTAATTTTAGTTTGATTATTCAGTTTAATATTTAAACTAGAATTTCAAAATAAATGTTTTGTAAAATGACAAAATATTGTTTGAGTATACCTAAATCAACAGAGACAAATGATATAAACATGCAAGTTCACACACACACACACACACACACACACACACACACACACACACACACACACACACACACACATGCTGGACTATAGCAGTATAACAATTTGCAATGACTACTTAGATGAAAATATATTTATAAAGCAAGCATGCCTTGCAGTGGAGTGTTGGACAGACACATAAGATTATGAATTGCTATAAAGCAATGAATGATTGGTAAAAACAACTGAAAAATAATCAGTGACAAGTAAATGCAATACCTGCAAATATTACCAATTGAAAGATTATTTGTGGTGAAGAAATCAAGCTCTATTTTACAGATCATATTAATCTGGTAGCAAATATTACCGACTGGAATATTATTTGTGTAAAGAAATCAAGCTCTATTTTACAGATCATATTAATCTGGTAGCAAATATTACCAACAGGAAGATTATTTGTGGTGTGGGAATTCCTGAAGAAATCAAGCTCTATTTTACAGATCAAATTAATCTGGTAACAAATATTACAGACTGAAAGATTATTTGTGTGCAGAAATCAAGCTCTATTTTACAGATCATATTAATCTGGTAGCAAATATTACCAACTGGAAGATTATTTGTGGTGAAGAAATCAAGCTCTTTTTTACAGATCATATTAATCTGGTAGCAAATATTACCAACAGGAAGATTATTTGTGTGAAGAAATCAAGCTCTATTTTACAGATCATATTAATCTGGTAGCAAATATTACCGACAGGAAGATTATTTGTGGTGTGGGAATTCCTGAAGAAATCAAGCTCTATTTTACAGATCAAATTAATCTGGTAACAAATATTACAGACTGGAATATTATTTGTGTAAAGAAATCAAGCTCTATTTTACAGATCAAATTAATCTGGTAGCAAATATTACCGACAGGAAGATTATTTGTGGTGTGGGAATTCCAGAAGAAATCAAGCTCTATTTTACAGATCAAATTAATCTGGTAACAAATATTACAGACTGGAATATTATTTGTGTAAAGAAATCAAGTTCTTTTTTACAGATCAAATTAATCTGGTAACAAATATTACAGACTGAAAGATTATTTGTGTGAAGAAATCAAGCTCTATTTTACAGATCATATTAATCTGGTAGCAAATATTACCGACTGGAAGATTATTTGTGGTGAAGAAATCAAGCTCTATTTTACATATCATATTAATCTGGTAGCAAATATTACCGACAGGAAGATTATTTGTGGTGTGGGATTCCTAAAGAAATCAAGCTCTATTTTACAGATCAAATTAATCTGGTAACAGATATTACAGACTGGAATATTATTTGTGTAAAGAAATCAAGCTCTATTTTACAGATCAAATTAATCTGGTAACAAATATTACAGACTAGAAGATTATTTGTGGTGAAGAAAATCAAGCTCTATTTTACAGATCATATTAATCTGGTAGCAAATATTACTGACTGGAAGATTATATGTGGTGTGGGTATTCCTGAAGAAATCAAGCTCTATTTTACAGATCAAATTAATCTGGTAACAAATATTACAGACTGGAATATTATTTGTGTAAAGAAATCAAGCTCTATTTTACAGATCATATTAATCTGGTAACAAATATTACAGACTGGAATATTATTTGTGTAAAGAAATCAAGCTCTATTTTACAGATCATATTAATCTGGTAACAAATATTACAGACTGGAAGATTATTTGTGTGAAGAAATCAAGCTCTATTTTACAGATCAAATTAATCTAGTAACAAAGACAAATCAAATTTTTTAAAAATGTCAATATTCTATTGACCAGTTTGAAGTATAAGTTGTCAATGACTGTATAATTCTTCTCTTTATAATAGCAATAGTAACAATAACAATAATCATGATACCAAGAACAACACAAACAATTAGCTATAATTATTGTTATCATCATCATCAGATTTTATTACTGCTGTTATTAAAGGCAGTATAATTGTTGATTTTTGTTATGCTATACATTACATATTGTTCCCCTCCTGAGGATTAAGTGATTTAACTATCTGCAACTAAGCAAGATGAATAATAAAGGCAAACAAATTTATACTTGTATTATCCAGTTAAATGTGTGATCATCAATAAAGGTTTATAGACCTTAAAGTATTCTATCTATGGAATATTCTGGTCTAATTTTCTTCCCATGAGCTAGAGATGAGCATTAGCATAAAAAAGAACAAAATAAGCAAAAGTACAAGAAAACCAACAAAAATGGGAAAACAGACATTTTAACAATGTCTATATATAAAATAAGCATAAAAAATTATTTGAAATTCAATAACATAAATAAATATTTAATTACTACATATTTAAATAATGAGTGGATTAGATATTTATTTGTTGTGCCCAACCAACAACATTCTGAATTATTTTGATACTGAAAAAGTTCTAAAATAATTTAGCAGCTGCAAAAAGCACCATGATAAAGTGCCCACTCCAGTGGCTTAGTGGTTTGAGTGTCTGTCTTGGATGCAGAAGGATGCCAGTTAAAACCATGGCAGAGTCATACCTAAGAATTATAAAAATGGTACTAATAGCTGCCTCACTGGGCACTCAGCAGTTTAAAAGGTTAGTGTTAGGACTGGTTAGCCTGGTGTCAGGATAATTCTCATTATCACAGAGCAAAATGTACAGGCATGGCTGTAGTATTTGGAAAGCTGGAGAGAAAAAGCCACTGATATACTGAATTTATAGTTAGTGAAACTTATTCAATAATTGTCTTATGAACTATATATCAGAATTCTAAAAGCCTGACCATTTGTACCAGAATTTTCTGCTTGAATGCTCTAATTCAGAAACATACTTATCACATTTAAAATATCCACTAAAAACTGAGAAAGAATACACTGTTATAACTGTATGAAATTACTACACATTAGAAATAGTAGTTCCATATATAGTAGTTTATAAATGTAATGTGTCAAATTTTAAATGAGTATGGATCCTTAAAATTGAATTCATTGTGCATTAAAATTTTATTAGCTAGAAAAGTCTTTGTTAAGGGTCACTGCAACCTTTTCTTCATGTCAGTATTAAAATTGAAAGGCCAACTTCTATGGCTCATTGAAAATCAACCCAGGCATCACAATACTGTCCTGAGAAAGTAAATGTAAGAGCAACCAACCATAACTGCTTAAAAGGAACCTTTGTCAAATAATCATTTTAAAAGGGATGCTGATATGCACCATATTTCTCAAATTCAAGGCTGTCAAAATCTGACAAAAGAAACAATTATCTTGGGGAAAAATTAGGAACCACTGATTACAATTGTTCAGTTTAATTTAAGGTGTACACCTTGGAAGTAATGTGAATTAAAAGGAAACAGCTCCCAGGAACAGATGGGACAGTCCGAAGATGGAAGTCTGGAAAGAAATGAATCGTTCAGAATAGGAAGAATAGGAAAATCAAAACATACATATGGAGGTAGAAAGGACATGTGATACATGGAGGTGAAGACATAAAGCAATGCTAGGTGATGCAGATCAGGCGTGGACATTGTGCTTTTTTCACAACTCATTATCATGATGAAATAAATTCAAAATTGAACACTGCTATAAAATTCTGTTAATGTAAACATTTGTTGAACTGAAGTTGTTACTATTAATTTCTTATTGATTAAAAAATTTTATTTTCTTGTCTAAAGAGGGCTTGTATTGTATTTTATTTCTTTTCAAGAGTCTTGCTCAGTTCTCTGTTAATGTTCTATCTATCCACTAAAATTAAGGGAGGTCATCCTCTAGATAATAACTGCCAAATCTATTAACCACACCTTTTTCTGAGGGGAATGTTATAGTCAAATTACTTAGAAATTTAAAATTGATCTTTCATCCACTGTTCTAGTCAATGAATTTTCTACATTTAAATGATAAATGAACAATTGACTCCTTTGATGTGCAAGAACAACTACCTCTATCATTATATAGTAGTCTGGTTTTGTGCAAAAAATGAATTTGTACATAAATTTTTATGGAATATTTTAAATTAAAACCCATAAATTTCATGTCATCAGTGTGAGCAAGCAGAGACAAATAATGAATTTTTATCTGAATATATAACATCAAACTCTGTATTATATTTCTCATGTAGTTTTTATTCAACAGTGACATCATATAAAAAATATCTTCATTCTTTCTTAGTCACCTAAATATATGACAAATGTTTATTTTATTCCTGAATCATCACTTTTTCATTCTCCCCTCCCCCTTACAAATCTTTCCAATTTCAAGACATTTTTCCTTATTACTGAAACATAATCTAAAAATGCTGTTTCAATCCATATTTTTGATTCATTGCAAGGGTAAAGAATCCATATACAAGTTTTTATTCATCAAAATGGTATAGAATTTACAAATCATTTTTAATTCAATATGAGGGTAAAAGATCCATGCATAACTTTTAATTCACAAAAATGGGATAGAATCCATACATAAGTTTTAATTCATCTTGTGGGTAAAGAATCCATACACAAGTTTTAATTCATCGAATTCAATTATGTTGGTAATATTATGGATTCCCTTTAATGTCCATCTTTTATACAAAACTATTAGTGACATTAACATTTTTAGATATACCATATTGGTGAAAATAATACTTTCTCAATTACCATATATACTCATGCATAAACCCATTTGCATATAGGCTGACCCCAAACTAAATAGCTATAAAATCTAAAAAGCAACTGCATGACCCACATATCAGCCAACCCAAAAGGCCAAGAACTGAGCATTGCTGTAATGCTGCATCTCCTTTCTGACAGCTGCTTGTTTTATATCTTTCTTGTATCAGACAATTTATATCATTGCACCAGAAATTACATTGTTTGTTGTTTTTTGGGGGGGGTCTTCAAATGGTAAATACTTAACTCACTGAAATATTATCCCAGTATGACAATAATGAACAACAACAGAGTTTCATTTGATGCTCATAATTAGGCTAGTGAGCATATTTACATAATGATGCCACCGTATGAACACTGTAGGTTTGAACAAGCACCTAATGAAGTACATTCCACTGAATGAAGTACATCCCTTGGATCTGAACCATGGGCACCACTGCACTAAACGTTAATGATTATTCCAAATTACAATAATGAACTTTCAGAAATACTGTTTAGAAAAGTATGCAATTACCATAAAAAAATAAAAAAACATCTGAGTTAAAGTTAGTTTTGATTTAAGCGACCTTACACCATGTTTTAAAAAAGCTAGAGTAATCATGCTAATATTGTGGAGTGAAAGACAGTTACACATCAAAATAATGATATAGTGGCCAGTCAAAATGCCCTCTTAACCCAAGCCAGTTTCAGCATTTTAATAATTAGCTGGCCTGTATCGCTGTTGGATTATCAACAAAGGAGACATCAAAACATCCAGCTTTGGAAAAAGATGATTTTGTTGTTCAGCCAAAAGACAAAAGAAAAATAGACTGATGATGATCTTACTTGATCTATAATCAGAATTTTAGCCTTTATTGTTACCATTCTTTCATGAACATGTAATAGTTATGCTGGATGTGCCTTGCACAATTAAACATATTTCTCTTTTCATAAAATTGCCTTTAGTTGTAGCATCACTTATATCATTGAAAAAGAATAACCCATGAGCACAGGGATCAACTTAAATGATCAGCTGAAATGCACAGGGATCAACTTAAATGATCAGCTGAAATGCACAGGGATCAACTTAAATGATCAGCTGAAATATTATCTAGAAGAATGTGATTTGGTGGCATATGTTTGGGAATAAAAAAAATTTAAAGTGACTCTAGGCACAATCTGCACTTTGTAAGTACTGTACCTTATAGTATAGCCTGGTCTCCCAGGTAAACTCAAATTGACCTGTGAATTATAAAGTCTTTAATTACCTTATTTAATTTCATGTTGAAGAAAAATAAAAAATATGCAAATGCAAAATAAAAACAAAAAGCAATCATAGAAATGTATAAAAGTTTAGCAAGTGTTGGGAACCGAGGATCAGTGGTGACACTAGAGTTGGTGCCACCCAGTGCAGCAACTCTTGGTGTCACCCCCATTGACCTCCTTCCTGCGCAAAAATGCAAAAATTATATAGACAGTCATTTTGGTGTCCTAGAGGATGGTGGGGTGTCGGGGGTGTGTGGACCACACCAGGTGATACAATCACCTGGTGTGGTCCACACACCCCCGACACCCCACCATCCTCTAGTGATGTCACAGCCTATGATTTATTTGTTTCTAACATGTATATATGTCTTAGGACATGAAAAAGTATTTTTTGTGTCCCAAGATTTACAGCCATTATGGCAGTTATCAAAATATTTGTAACAATTTTCAAGTTTAGACTTTGCTCTGTAAATAAATTGAATCCCCTTCTTCCATGCCTTTTGCAATGTGAGATTTCCAAAATGTGATTTTCATCACATCCTCCAACATATTGATGAGTTAGGCTGTCACACACTTTAAAATGATTCACTTATTTAATTTACGCATTAAATAAGAATTTCAATATAATACAGAAAATAAAAATGCATTATCTGAAGCTGAATATGATAAAAGCCAATTATTCAAAGCTGACTGCAGAATACAAACTCATGTAAGTAATGTGACCGTGACAGTTGTATAATAGTTCTTGTGTACTTCATGATACCTGACAAAGGTTCTTTATGAAGCAACCATATCTTAGTCTTAGACATATCTGCGTCATTTGGAACATTAGGCTGTGAGTGCTCTCCATTGAAGATGATCTGTTGCAATGGTTTCAGCATCATCCAATGATATGTCCCGCACCATGTAGTTAGGTGACAGCCTTGTTTTGTCTTCCCTGAAGTGTCCATGAGGTAGCATTCCTTGGATGCCTTGAGATTGGTTGCCAGAGTATGTGGCCTGCAAAACGTAGTCAGTGCTCTGTCACAATGTTGTTGAGATGTCGGGTGCCTGTTCACTGGTGGATCTCTTCATTTGTGATGCAAACCTTGTATGAGATTTGCAAGATTCTATGCAACCATTGCTTTTTGGGCAACATTAAAACTCCATGCAATCTTGGCTAACATCTTCCATGTTTCAGATCCATATTGAGTGGTATTGAGTAGCTGGAATTTTGTTCCTACCCAGATTTAAATTTTGGCCCAGACTGGTCAAAACCATTGAAAGACTGCCCTGCCTTCCCTATTCTACAAGCAACATCATGGTAGGCATTGCCATCATTGGCTAGGGTGCTACTTAGGTAGGGGGAATTTCTCTACCTCCTCACGGCAGCCCTTGTAGTGGTATATCCAATTCTCATTATCTTTGTCTTATTCCCACTTATCCTAAGTTCAACTTGGGCCAATTGGCAAAATGGTAAAATTTAGGCAGTCAAATGTAGAATGATAATGGACAGGAGCTAAAAAAAACCTGGACATTTAGCAAGGCCTGATTAAGTGTTCCAATCATGGAGAGTTAATGCTGGGCCAAGAGATTGCTAAAGAGGACACTCACCAGCTATTAAGTACTTTTGATTGAGTGACTTATGTAAGATGAAGTTGTTTGCA